CTTGGCTGCTTAATCATAAGCATCCTCATCATTTCATCCAATTGGCTGCAGTAGACATCTGCTATAATTGATTGATCTGGTTTCATGAAGCTATAGTGGACAATACCAGTGCTGGACCACCAAAAAAACACCAGTAGCTTTTTTCAATGAACATTTCATTTGGGACATTTCGTTTCAACACTTCATCTCTATCCAACTGTTGTGCCTAATGCTTGCAATTGTCAAAAAGAATCCATTTTTTATCACACATAACAATATGGTGTAGAAATAGTTCACCTTTATGTCGTGAAAGCAAAGAAAGGTAATCTTCAGATGATTTCTCTTCCAACGCTCATTTAATTCATGTGGAACCATTTACCCAGCTTTACCTAGCTGATTTGTTTCAAATGGTCCAATATTGTTGGAATAGTAACATCAAACCTTGCTGCTAATTCATGCATAGATTGAGATGGATTCACTTCCACTACAGCTTTCAGCTCTTCATTATCCACTTTGGTCTCAGGTTGCCCACGTGGCTCATTTTCAAGATTAAAATCACCAGAAGGGAACTTCTCAAGCCATTGAGGTACTGTGCATTCATTAGCCACATCCTTCCTGAACACTTCATTGATATTTCGAGATGTCTGTGCTGCATTTGTTCCACAATAGAATTCATATTTGAAAATAACGGGAATTTTTTACTTATCCATGGTTTCACAAAAATTGCTTGAAAAAAATTTGAAAGATAATTACAAGCCAAAATATGTGTTTGAAAGACTTAGGATGTACCTTCACAATAAACATAAGAAGTGGCAAAGTGAAATGTCAGCAAAAGACATGATTTCATTCTTTTTTATGGCTGAACAGTATTTCGTGGTGTACATATACCACATTTTCTTTACCCAATCCTGTGTTGATGGACACTTAGGTTGATTCCATATATTTGCTATCATGAATAGTTCTGGGATAAACATATAAGTGAAGATATCTTTTTAATACATTGATTTCCTTTAGGGAAATACCCAGTAGTGGGACTGCTGGATCATAGGGTAGTTCTATTTTTAATTCTTTTAGAAATCTCCATACCATTTTCCATAAAGATTGCACTAATTTACATTCCCAAGAACAGTGTGTAAGAGTTCCCTTTTCTCTGCATGCTCACCAACATATGTTATTTTTTTGTTTCAATCATAGCCATTCTGATTGGTGTAAGATGATACCTCATTATGGTTTTAATTTGTATTTCTCTGATGATTAGTGATGTTAAACATTTTTTCATAAGCATATTGGACCTTTGTCTTCTATTGAAAAATGTCTATTTATGTTCTTAGTCCACTTTTTTAATCATCAGCAAACAGGGATAATTTGACTTCCTCTGTTCTTATTTGGATGCCTTTTATTTTTTCCTCTTGCCTGATTGCTATGGCAAGAATTTCCAGTACTACGCTGAATAAGAGTAGTGAAAGTGGGCTTCATTGTCTTATGATAGTTCTTGGAGGAAATGTTTTCAACTTTCCCCCATTAAGTATGTTGTTGGCTGTGGGTATTCTGTATATGGCCTTCTGATTTCAAGATTATTCTTTTTTAAGCACCAAAGGAGGCAAGAAAAGCTTCATCTTTCTCTGCTGCATCCTTTTTAATAAAAGTATTTGTTCAGTAAAATTTGGATTCAGTCAAAAGGCCACACTCAAGGATCCAGAAGGCCACATGTGGCCCCAATGTCCCCACTCCATGTCCACTCTTGTCTTTCTTTGTCTCCTTTCCTTGTTGCACCATTTTGGCTCTTAATGTGGCAATATGTTTGAACTCTTCTGAGTTCTTGACCAAGATTTTCTGCTCAGTGCTGAGTTCTCCATCCCTTCCCAATTCTAGTATCCCAGTAGGTTCATGAGAAACATTCCCTCCACCAGCCCTGGCTTCATACTCCGCTAGGGGGACCTATCCCATCCAATTTAAACACCCATAACAAACTCTTTTGGCACACCTTCCTCAATCTTTCAAAAATTCCTAGGGTGCTAGCTGCTCTGCTGTTGTACCATCTCTAAAAAGCTACCTACTAGAGTTCTAAACAATATATAAAGTGGAGACCACTCAATTCACTGCAGAAAGGTTTTGTAAAGAAATGACAATTTCTATTTTATATACATTAATTTTCTTTTTGACCGCTATCCTCAATACAAATACCCTCAATCCTCTAATCATCCTTAGTATACCTCTGTGATGATGCAATTTTCTCTTCTCTCCCTAATACCCATCCTAAAAGTTTCTGAAAGCAGACCAGACAGAACACAAAATGAGGAAGAGAATGGAGGCCATTTTTATGTCAAAATATTCCAGAAAAAAAAATCAAATATCTGTTTACTTTTACCAACCTTACTTACGCTTGGCATTCAGAAAAAATCTAGAAAATCTTTATTATCTCAAATTACATTAATATTTGTTATTTTATTAATATTCTGCAACTAGAGGAAAATCTCCAACTCACTGAAATAGACGCTGTGGGCAGAGATACTACAGAATTATGAGGAAGGACCTGTTTGGTCAGATTACATTGCGACAGACATCATGGCCTCACAGCCCTGCAATCCTTATAAAGTACTTTTGCTTGCTCTTCTTCAAGCAATATTTAACAAACATTGAATGCCTAAAATAAGCACTATTGGGGGAAAATGACCAAAAAAGACCACTCAGAGATACCATTTCTACTCTCAAAGCACTTATACTCTAGCAGAGAAAATAAGATGTTCAGATGAAGTGGTGTTACAATGATTAAGATCCTTTTCTTCAACAGTGGGAGAGAAGGCGGGACATAGTCAAGCTAAGTAAGTTTGCCATTGAAACCTCTGACTTTCATTCTTGAAAGTTCCCTTCCATTTTCTTTGGAGCTCTATATTCTATAATCTTAGCATTTCCCCATAAGCTTTTATCAAACATATGTGGCTTGGGTATGGCTTAGATCTTCAGTCATATTCTTCATCTCTAAATCAGGTAAATATCAAAATTATGTAAATCCTCCATAGCAACTAAATGGAAGATTATAATCAAATAAGTACCTGCATCTTATCACTAAATTGATAAGAAAACACAAAGGGCTCTGAAGCTGACTCTTGGAGCAGTTCCAGCTGCAGAACATTATTGCTTTTGCAGAGAACCCAGACTACTGCTCCAGTTCTAAATGAATCAGATCACTAATTTTTTGCATTCATTTAACCAGCACATATTTTGTGTCTGTCACTATTCGAAAAATATGGCAGTAAGCAAGCCAACATTCTTGCTCTTTTGAAGCTTACATTATAGAGGGGGAGACGAACAATAAATAAAAAAATAGACACATAATATAAAACATCAGAGGATGTTGAATGCTTTGAGAGAAGAAAATTATTTGAAGGGATAAAATGTGATGGGAATATTTTTCAGATAAAGTGGTCAAAATCTTTAAAAAATGTAGCATCTCAGCAGAAATCTGCATAGAGTGACAGGGTGACTCAAGAACATCTCTGGAGGAAGAATCACCCCACCTAAAGAAGAAAATATGTGAAAATGTAGCTCAAAATACATGAAAAATAAGTATAGTAATTATTAGATCCATGTTAAAATTTAGCCCAATTATTTGACACATAGGCTAAGCCCTATTATTTCAAAACAATTTTTTTAAAGAAAGTTTTGACATTTTTTTTTTATTTCAGCATATTATGGGGGTACAGATGTTTAGGTTATGTATGTTGCCCTTACCCCCCTTCCCCCCTAAGTCCGAGTTTCAAATATATCCATCCTTCGGGTGGTGTGCATTGCACTCTGTGTGTATGCAAATACCCGTCCCCTCCTCCCCGCTCCTCTCTGCCCAACATCCAATAGATGTTATTCTTATATGTGCATTTATGTGTTGATCAGTTTTTAAACTTTCCCAAGAATCAAAGGAAGAGATGTCATGTAAGCCTCAATATACTCCTTGTTGTGTGATGCAGAGTTTTAAAGTTGCTTCTGTTAAAATAGAATACTACTCTGGGTATCCATTTCATCTTCTTATATGAGCTAGATGCTATAATGATTCCCCATTTTACAGATCAGTAGACCAAGGCAAAAAGAAGCTAAGTAACTTGTCCAAGGTCACCAGCCACGCATGGAGTGGTGAAATCTAACAATATACAAGTTCTATTGTAAATGGATTAAGTCATTCTTTTTTCTCTGAAAATGTATTGAGCAGTTTCTGTGCTGCATCATATTCCAAATACAAAAGAAGTGAAAAGTACCATCTTTTCGTCAAATTAGCTTTGATGTATGTGTAAAAACTAAACCCACATACTCCCAGAAAAGGTGAATTGGTACATTATGGGTACATATGATGAAGAAATGCAAAGTTTAAAAGAAAAAAAAGTGTTGGTTGGTGTTGATACGAGCTGAATATGGCTTGGGGATAGAAAATGTTGAATCTAACCTTTTTATTTTTCTGCCCCTGTTCATATAAGAAGCAGTTGCAGAAACTGGGATGGTTAGCCTGGAGAAGAGAAGACTCAGGGGGGATTTGATAACTGTCTACAAATATTTGGAGAACTGTCATGTGGAAAAGAAATTAGATTTGTTCTGTATATCCCCAGGGGTGGAAGCGATAGAAAGATTTCACCACAATGTAAGGAAGGACTTTCAAACAAAATAAGGAGAACTCTAGAGCTCTCTAAAGGTGCAATAGGCTCTTTGGGAGATGGAGGCTCTGATCGCCTAAGTGGAACGGCCTCTTCAATGACAACTTGTATAGGGGAATGAAGAGAAGGGTGGATGGATGAGGTGAATGTTAAAGTCTTCTCTAAGGCTGAAAATGTATTATTTTATCAGTGATAAATGCAATTTCTTTCAATACTTAACCTCTTATGAAATTCATACTTTCCTTAAAGAGTGTTTTAAAGTGTGCTATTAAATGTTTTGGCTATCCTATCTACAACTCTGCATGTTACTTCTGGTGCTTAATCGATAATAAATAATCCCCTGGAGATGTACTTTATTTCTTTCTTGCTTGCTCTTTCTAGGTCTCCAGCCATACACCAACTACAGCTTCACACTTACGGCTTGTACATCTGCTGGATGTACTTCCAGTGAGCCTTTTCTAGGTCAGACGCTGCAGGCAGCCCCTGAAGGTAATGAAAAAATATTTCATTA